GGTTATTTGGAACATTGCGCTCTCTGGGCGGGGGAGTTTACGCTTTTACATGGTGAGCAGAACATATAGACCCCTTAGTGGTTGGAATTGGGCTTCTGGGTGATAGATCCCTAAAGACTGGCATGGTACTTATTCCGATTGTTCCGATCGCCACTGTACAGCGTTAAATCAATTCTTCCTGACTGTTCACGAGGTGCAGGGATCCTCTGAATGTAAGAACCGGATTCAGAAACCCAATGTTCCCTTTGCTCTGGCCCTTCACCAAGATGGTGATTGTTTGGCAAACATCAAAGCCGGGGTTTCTGAATCAAGTCTAAAATATACGTTATCGAAAGCACAATGAGCTTTGAGTCTACCTTGGCCCCCGAAGTTGCGAGATTGCCAAGCTCCTCCTTGCATGGTACACGTCGAAGCCGGCTCAGCAGCAGCAACAGCAACAACAGGAGTTGCTTGAGCCACCGAAGCCTTCCCAAAACAAATGGACGGTTGATGATACAAATCCTGCATTAGCTTAAGGACCCTAAAATGTGGGAGTTATGGTATACTCCTGATTGTGGGTAGTGCAGGATCTATATCATCAACAGGAGGAGGAGGCATCGAAAGCCGCAGCAATCAGGGAGCTCAAACTCCGCCCACGCCCAAACCCTAATGTAAGAACCTGATCAAGAAACCCTGGGTCCTTATTCGGGTGCCTTATCTGATTCCTAAAATGTTGCGGGTTATATGGCCAGGGTGTTTTAATCAGGTTCCCGCATTAAACCCTGAACCCCAAAGCCTCAGCCCACCATAGTTTAGCAATGTTTAGCACCTCTCTCCTGGAAAAGAAATGTGGAGTCTAGTTCCCTACCTCGGACTTCCCAGCTAACGACCCGCCGCATGACAAAAACCTAGGACAAACCAAGTAACGATTCCCGAAATGCAAACCCCAAAAAGCCTAGGTAATTAAGGCGAGGACTCATCATTAAAGGGACCCTACCGGGAAGTAGGTTCTGGCACCAGAAACCCTCATAAGATCCTAGAAAAGCCCATGAAACCGTAACCTCAAGATCAAAAGCCCCCTCTAAACCTTAAACGCTGAAGCCCTAAACCCTAAATCCCTAAAGCCCTAAACCCTAAACCCCTAAAGCCCTAAACCCTAAATCCCTAGAGCCCTAAACCCCAAACCCAAACAACCCCGAACCTGAAACTTCCTGAACAAAGAGAGCGCAGCAGCGAAACCCTAAAACCCAACAGCTGGAGGGTCGGGGATTTAGAGTCGCTACTACAAGAGCTATCTATATATATATATATATATATATATATATATATACAAATATACACCTATATATCTATATAACTATGAATATCTATATATATATATATATATGTATATATATATATATATATATATATATTACAGTACTACCATATGTGAAACATGCAACAATACACTGTAGTAAATAAAATTCCAATCCAGCGAGCAGCAGCCAGGGGTTGACGAGTCCATGAAAACGTCTGCGGCCACTGCAGCGGCCACGTCCTGAAAAAAATGGGGGCTTCAAAGACCCAGACCTTCCAAAATCCCTTAATTAAGGAATATACCTGAAATCGTTTTAGGGACCCTATTATAATTTAAGGTATATTCCTTAATTAAGAGGTTTTGGAAGGTCTGGGGAGCCCACATAGAGTTTAGGGAGTTCAGGGTTTACCGCTGGGGGCTCGAAAGACCCTTACAAAACATAGAGCTTGGCCCTTTAGGGTTTATCGGGTCCATGAGGCTATAGGGATACCATCCCAATGCCTTAATACGCTGCCATAAACCTTAACAACTTTAACTAGGAAACTTGTGTAAGAGCTTGCAGAAGTAGCACTCACCAGCATCACGACCGTTCTCTTAGTCACATGTCTTCTTCATCGTCCACACGACCAAGATCACAACGTCCATCATGACCATCATGGGCATCATGAACACCATCGCCAGCATCATCCCTAAACCCTAAACCCTAACAACATCGGCATCAACATCAGAAGCAGCCGTTTGACAACAGACCCTGCAGCCCACACAGGGGGTCGCCGACCTGCCCAACCTCCTCATTGTTGAGATTCGGCGTGTTGAAGAACCTGGGGTGTAGTTGTGGGGTGACCGGATTTCAGGGCTTTGGGGGTTTCCAGGGCTTCGCTGTAGGGGGTTTAGGGGTTCGGGTTTAGAATTTAGGGTTTAGGGGTCTTTCCCAAAATTTCCTACGTACCTATATAGTAGAATGTAGGGTTTCTATGTTAGGCATTACTATGATTTATGATGGTTTGGGGAGGCATTCCCCATAACACTACCTAGGACCCTTAGGGTTTGGGTGTTTCCAGGGCTTCGCTGCAGTGTTGGTGCTACGGCTCTATGGGGTTTTATAAGTCTTGGGTCAGACCTTCAGAACTTCAGCTTGCTAGGGTGGTTGCTGAGGTTCCCCAAAAATTCAAGTACCTAATAATCATATCCTCTCCAAATTCCTAACCTACATAACTACCTTCCTAAAACCGAGTACGTAATTCTTAAAGCCCATAAAACTAGAACCCATATAGTAACCCTTTTAAAGGAACCTTGAAGAACCCTTTAGAGGAACCCTAAGTATTGGGTCCTTTGGACCCTTGGGGGCTTTGTATAGGGCCCCAAAAAAGCACATAAGCAAAAATTAGGATTGTGATATCCCATATAAACCCCCTTATAAAGAAGCCCAAGAAGGTAGGAATGTCCCTATCAAATGCTTATGCTTATGTGCTTTTTGGGTCCCTAATTGTATTAAAGCAATGGAAAGCCTGGGGCCGAAGATTGGTGTAACACGGTTGATGATATATGAACCCTAGGCTTCCTCTAAAGAGATCTACCTGAACCTACCAAACCTACTTTTTGTAGGGTCCTATAAATTCCATATTAAGATGAAAAGTAAGAACCTACAAAAAAACAAGGTTTGGTAGTTTAAGGTATAAGAGTACCTTTAAGGGGTTCCTTTTAAAGGATCTACGGGGTTGCACTACCGCGACATGCCTTCTTTGTCGCGTATCCTTGGGACTAAGGTTGGCCATATCGGGCTTCTGGAGGCTGTAGTACCCTAAAGAGGTTGCCTGTAGCCCAAAAGACCTACCTTTTTAGGGTTCCTTATTATGGTTTCTATATATATATATATATAGATAGTTCCTTAATAAAGTAGGTCTTTTCGGCTACAGTTGAAGCTTACCTACTCTACTACCAAGAATTGTGAATCTTGCTATGAAGGATCCCTGAGCCCTAAACATCTAAGACCTAGGTAATTTAGAGAGCTACTAAGATACTGATGCAGTGATCTGGGGGGGAAGACGCCATGACACTGCTGCAGCCGTGCTGCAGGAAATCCATGTAGATGGTAAAAGACAAGAGCAGCGCTTTCCATGCAGGATCCTGCTGCAACGTGGTAGGGCTTAGGGCTCAGGGGCTCCAGGTATCTAGCACTTTGAAGGATTTTGCAGGAAAGCTTTTTCGGTTGAGGGCTACGGGGTTTAGGATTTCAGGCATCTGAGTTGTGGTTGCTGAACTTAGCTGAAGATGGTTCAAGATTCATGCTTTCGTTAGTGCAACAGCCTCAGTGACTTTCCGCTGACAAAGCCCATGCAGAAGCTTGCAGCCCTACACAACAAGGCCCTACGCAGCAAATACAAAACATGCAGATTTTGGAGTTCCCTAGACCCGTGCGGCTCGAGGGTTTTACGGATTTTTCGGGCAGCTAAGCTCCCCAGAGAGCAAACCACCCTCCTTTTCAGTAAATTATGCAAAACATCTTGAACTGTAGGGGCCCTATAAGACGTAAGCGGCATTCCCTAACTAAAGCGGCAAAAAGCATACGAAGAAGGACCCTGCAATTTGACGTCCCTTAATTTGGGCTACTGGATGCTCTTGCTCGTCGATGGTCCTGGATCATCCCGAACTGGATTTTGTAGTTGTCCACATCCGAGGCGAACATCCACGTCCACTGGGCAAGAGATTGGAGCGTGAATGGACCAAAACTTAGGAAGTCCAAAATTCTAAAGCCCTAGAAAACAACCCAACCACCTAAAAGCCGACACATGCCTGGTCCTAAAGCCCTACAAAACCCTAAATATGTACCCCCCAAAAGCCTGAACCATGAAAAGTTGAGGTCGGTATCAGAAAACGATTGTATGGGAGAGGTTCAGGGCTCAAAGTTTGGGGTGGGTATTGCTCTTGGCTTTTTTTTAAAGTTGAACTGCACCCTTTGTCCGAAAAAACGCTGGCATTTTGCCCTCAACCAGGGGCTCTTGGGGTTTAGGCTTCAGGGTTTAGGGCTCCAGGTTAAGAGTTGCTTGGGGTTTAAGGGTGTAGGGGTTTATGGGTCGAGGGTTGGTCGTTGTGGTGAGTGAAGGGCTGCCCTGGATTCTGGAAGTGGCAAGATCAGGAGAGAGGAAAACACCCCAAATCCACGTCTCCTGGTGTAGGCTGTATTGGTTAATTTAGTTTTCTAAACCCTTTAAACTTGCAACCCTTTAAACTCGACACCCCTCAGATTGCACCTGCGCCACTTTATGTGACTGCCGTGGATTAGTAGCCAGTAAAGACTTGGATGCAGGGATTCAGGGGTTCTGGGTTTAAGGCTTGTTGTTGAACAACTTTCTCCGCCGAGCACTTAAGGTCGGCAGAATCCACATATTCGTGGGTTTAGGGTTACAAGGTCCTTTAATTATATAAGGATTGAGGATTTAGGGTTTGGGATTTCGGGGCTCTTTCAAGGCCTCTTTATCGGCCCTTTAGGGGATCTGGGTTAAGTGATCGAGAAGCCTCCCTAAACTCAAAACTTCTAAACGCAGGGCCCTGTTTTCGCTCCCGAGCACTCGCTTACGAAGTGCGCTGCTATACAGTTGAAGCCAAAAAGTTGGAAGCCCAAGACCCTAAGTCCTTAAGCGACATGAAATCGGAATCCCAGCACTATTTGGCCTCAATCCGGTTTCCAACTTTTGGGCTTCTACTGTAGAGAGAAGGAAGATCAGGCCGAATCTTCCCATAGGAGGAAGGAGGCATTCCTTGGTCGCTGTTAGGGTTTAGGGATTTCGGGGTTAGGGTTCAGGGTTTAGGGGATCTCTTACTTAGTTGCTGAGTTAGAAAAAGCCCGAAAATGTGTACACTTTCAGTTCTAGGGAGGTATATATTAGATGTCAGCAGGAAGTGTAAAGTAGACTAATACAGCTGCTAGGATTCTTGTAGTTGGCCATTGCAAAGCCAAGGGCAAAGCCTTTCGAGTGACCAACGACCGGACCTGCATAGCCCTCATGGATGAGGACGTGGAAACTAGCACCGAGGTGTTCCTGATTCTTGTTCGCGATGCACTCGGCGAGCTCGGCCCTCGCGACACCTGCCGCACAGGCATAAATGGCAACCAACACCGACCTTTTTTGTTGTGTGTCTTGATAGCGGAAGGTGTTGGAGTACTGCATAGTCAGAGTCCCCCCGGGGAGGTGCTCCTCATGAGTCAGAATGTCGGTAGGGGGCTCACTGGCAGCGACGCTTCTTGAATCTTTCTCCTCCTGCTCGTTGCGCATGGCGCAACATGACACAAGCAGCGTTGCGAGTACCACTCGGGTCACGGCGGAGAGGGACATGGATGCGTTTGCTCACAGCAAGTGGATTTGGATGACACACGGGAGGCTGCTTGCTCGAGCCAAGAGAATGCTACAGGATGTGGGATGTTCAGAAAAGTATTTTGCGGCACCCTCATGCACTAGCGAACCCTTGTTGGTAGGAGCCCGCATGTAGCGGACTCCATAAGAAAAGGAACCACAATTTTCAGAAACCCCATCTGCTTTCTCCTATAATCCATGATCCACTGGCAGCCTTGGCACTTTACCGAGTGGGTGTAAGACTACGGCTGAAGGCTTCAGCTAGGGCTTAAGGCTAAAGACTTAAGCCCTTTAGGCTCCTATCGGTAGAAGGAGGACTGGAGTTCATTCTTCTATAGGGTTTAGGGGTTTAGGGTTCTGGGTTTATATGACTCATATTTAAAGAACAGCACTCATACCAACACGGAAGTGCTACGCACAATTGCGACCATGGTCCAATCATTCACGAAACCCGTAACCAACAGTGACGCCTACCTCAACTAAAGCCGACAACATCCCGGATCCCTTATAAACCCCTAAACCCCCAAACCCTAAACCCCTAAACCCTAAACCCCTAAACCGCTAAGCCTCTGAACCCTAAACCATAAACACTAAACCAAGCGTGCTCAGCGGCCAAGCTGGGCACTTGCTTCTGGATGCTGGCCACTTTAGCACCTGGCCGAAGTTCAAAGGGGAAAAGGAGGGACCCTTCATGGGGACCCCTACCCCATAATGGGCTATATAATGGGTATATAATAGCTATACTAAGGGTATATACTTAGGGGTCCTTATTATTAAAGGAACCCTAAACCCTATACAGAAAGGACTGTTGTGGCGTGTATACATAAGCAGTTTTTACAGGTTCAAGAGTAGCAATACGCAATACCAGCCACAACAATCCCATCTCAAGTAAGCGACTTACTTTACTAACTGCACCACGCCGGATTGGCACAACAGTCCCCTCTCACCCCATAATGGGCTATATAATGGGTATATAATAGCTATACTAAGGGTATATACTTAGGGGTCCTTATTAAAGGAACCCTAAACCCTAAACCCTAAACCCTTTATAGAACCCTTTTGGATCCCTTAAATACCTAGGGGTCCTTCTTAAGGGTCCCTCCTTTTACCCTTGTTTCGAAGCAGGGAGGCCCAACGACCTAAGGCGTAAAGGAGCTCCGAGCCGAACTCTTGGGGGAGCCCTTTGAACTATTCCGCAGGATTTAGGGGTTTAGGGTCTAGGGGTTTAGGGTTTAGGGATTAAGTATACTAAAGATGCCAGAACCCCAAAGCCCTAGACCTATCGAGGAGTCAGCCTGTCCGCACATCGAGCACGTCGAAGGACAGCTCGGAACAAGGACCGCAAGGGAGAGAGCACCTCGAGAGATGATGGAAACTATTTCGGGTTGGGGTTTGCGGCTCAGGAATTGGTTGGGGTTTAGGGCTTCAAGCGTTTAGGACATGGGCTTGAAGATGTTTTGTGGGTTTAGACTTCGGGCCAGGGGTCCATTCCCACGCCCTAAACCACGGTTTAGGGTTCAGGGTTTAGGGCAAACCCTCCACCCTACACTGTCTAAAGCTAGCAGGGGTGCTAGGGTTAAGGGCAAACCCTCCACCCTACACTGTCTAAAGCTAGCAGGGGTGCTAGGGTTAGGTTTTCAGTCTGTACGATGACCTCTCTGTGGCCTTACAGCTTTGGGGTGTGGGCTTTAGGTACAGGTTCAAACATGAGGAACAGTCGAACAAAATAGGGTTCGAAACGGGTTTTGGGGTCGTTACAGTATACTTATGCTAAGATGCCCAAGGAACAGTTCACTAACCATTCAGACTTGTATTTTCGGCCTCTCAGCTTTTGCTGAGCACTTTTGGAGGGTCCAGAGCAAGCTCATGAAACGGAGACGAACCTTTAACCCTAAACCCTGAAACCCTAATCCGTTCAGGGTTTAGGACCTGCCCCTGACCTGACTGATAGGCTGGTTTCAAGGGACCCTTTCAGAGAATAAACCTCTCATTTTTTGGACCCCAAACCGTAGCGTCTAGCTCACCGACCTGCAGATAGCCGAGCTCCTTAATTCACCATGAGGAGCCCGGTATAGTTCATGGGCCCCAAGCCTCCAAGTAATAGTGTACCTATAGTCTCCATGGATTCACCTTTAAGGGTTACGATAAGGGGTGTACAGTCCCTCTAAAGGGATCTATAAGGGCTCCTATAAGGGATCGTTAGGGTTTAGGGTTTAGGGTATAGTACCTATAGTCTCCGTGGTAGTTCCTTTTTTGGTTTAACCAATTATATATAAAGGATCCTATAAGGTAACCCAAAATAATGGAGACGTTGACTTTAGGTAGTATATACTTTTGGGCCCAAATACCTGCTAAGTAGCTACAACTTTCATGGTACATGGACCAATTCGGGGAGTACTGCAACTTCCTTGACTGAGAGTTTTGGGCTGACTTGGCAACTCAAGCCGAGTGGCCATCATTGATTTCATCTACCATAATACGGAGCTACAGGAAATGACATGGTGTTTTGATTGTGATAACTTAAACTACAACCCTTATAGCAAGAGCCCAAAACCCTAAACCCTACTACAACCCTTGTAACAAGAACCCCAAACCCTAAACCCTACTACAACCCTTATAACAAGAACCCCAAACCCTAAACCGAGTGGCCATACAGCAGGTTGGCAGCAGCCTCCATGCACCTCAAGAACCTGCTCATGGGTTGCTGCAGGCCATGGTTAGAGGCTAAACATGTTGGAGACCTGCCTGAATGATCGGGTTTAGGGTTTAGGGTCGCCTGGTTCAAGGCTCCAGCCACGGTTTAGGGTTTAGGGGCTGCCTTAATGATTGGTCAAATACATACATACATACATACCTACCTACATACATACATACCTACGTGCATACCTACGTGCATACCTACGTGCATACATACATAAATACATGAATACATATGTGCGCGGGCAAATATGAGGCTGCAGGGACTTATGATTCAAGGCGTGGGGGCTTCGGGTCAGGGGCTTGGGGGTTTTGGGTTTGGGGTTTAGGGTTTAGTAATAGGGTTTAGGGTTTAGGGCTTATGGTTTACGGCTAAGGGTTTAGGGTTTAGGGTTTAGGCTTGAGGGTTTATGGTTTAAGGCTAAGGGTTTAGGAGTTCGGGCTTTAAGGTTTACGGTTTAAGGTTTATAAGTCTACGATACTTACTTGTCCAGCATCTCAGGGGAGCTAAAGGACAACCTTTCGGGTTTTTAGGGCCTCCAACAGGTAATGAACTCATAAAACCTCAACCACACGCTTCGGGGCTTCGGGAACATACGAGTTCGGGTCTTTTGTGGCAGGCCCGCCCTCGTGCTGCAGTTATGGGATCCCCGGTGATACCGGTTGATGGTTTAAATTCTGCATTACCTTAAGGACCCTAAACTATGGGAATTATGGTATATTCCTTATTATGGGTAATGCAGGATTTATATCCTCAACAGTACCTGCGTAAAATGAAGGCTCTCCTCGACAAAAACCATTGTCTGTTTGGTTGGGATCCTTGTATAGGCTTGAGGGTTTCTGACTACAAGGCAAGCCTTTGGCCGTCACTGCCCCTGAGGGTCCACGTACTCATAGAGTAGATACATTGGCCCTAATGTAGTCCCTATTTAGGTACCTTGAGGCCCGCGTATCTCTATATGGGTGCGTGGATCCTTAGGGTGCTTAACACTGCAACAAAAGCGCTCTTGTTGCTACGGCTACGTAAAATCGTATGCCATGTTCCCAATCGGCTTTAACGAGGAAGCCCCAATCCCAGATGAACAAGGGTAACAGGGCAGGGGCCTTAATAATTAGAATAGGGTCTTGAGGCCCAATATACTATGTTTATAATAAGGAACCCTAACAATAACATTGGTAATTATTGCGGCCCCTACAGTAACCTTTCAAACCCTAAACCCTGCCCCCGCCCCCCCCCCCCCGCCACCCCCAATAACTAGAGTAGGGAAACCCAGTACATAGAATCCCTAAACCATTCTTCAGACTTCCCCCAGTAAACCCTAAGCTCCATAAGCCCGAAAACCCTAAACCCCCTAAGCCCTAAACCCTTAAGCCCTTTCTGAGTCCGAGTCCTCGGTGTCGAATGCATCCCGGAGCTTGAAGTTGTAGTTGCAGCATCGGAAGGGGTCGCGGAAGGAACCTTTTAGGGTTTAGCTTTTAGGGTTTAGTGTTTAGGTTTTTAGGGTTTAGGGTTTAGTGTTTAGGGTTTATAATTTTTAGGGCTTAGTTTTTAGGGTTTAGGGTTGAGGGACTCTACCAGAAATTGCCTACAGTCTCCCTTGTAATTCCTTCCTGGGTTACGTTGTAGGATCCTAACTATAAAAAGGGCTAAACTTGAAACCAAGAAAGATCGAACTACAATGGAGACTATAGGTATGACCATATTAGCGTTTGGGGCTAGAAATTTGGTTGAGATGTCTGGTGGAGCTCTGTAAGGTCTAGGTGCTTGCAGCGGCACGCTTGGTTTTATGGCGGTACCTACTAAATAGGGGCCTTAATAATTAGAACAGGGTTTTGAGGCCCATTATACTATACTTAAAAATAAAGAACCCCTCGCAAAAATATAGGTAGTAATTAAGGTCCCCTATATTAGGGTTCTCTAACCTTCCAGGCTTGAGACGTTTAGAGTCTCAGAGTTGCGGGCTTATGCTTCGGATTCAGGGTTTACCCAAAGGCCCCAAAGTAGTTCCTTTTTGGGGTTCATATATAGAATCCGATACCCTAAGGGTCCATGTACTCATATAGTATATACATTGGCCTTAATGTAGTCCCTATATAGGTACATTGGGGCCCATGTATCTCTATATGGGTACATGGACCCTTAGGGATAAGGTAATCCCAAAAAGGAACTACTTTGGGGCCCCTGGGTAGGGCTGGAGCTTCTTGCAGTCTCAGAGCAGTGAGTTCATGGTTTGGGTCGCGGAAGGATCTGATGGGCCAAAAGGGGGGTTTAAGATTCTTGGGGT